GTTCATATGTTCGTTGTATTTCTGTTTTAGATCTTCGTCTCGATCTAATTGTTTCTCGATTGAAACGAGCCTTTTTACGGCTGTTTCATAATTGCCAGGCATTTCGGCATCTTTCTTCTTCCAGAGAAGCGCCGTCTCTATGTGCCCGTCTTCCAACTGACGGGTGCTGTTATTTAGTATGTCTTCGGCTTTCTTCTCTGGATCAGAGTCTGGTCTTCTCGGGTTGATTACGAGAGACTCCAGCGCGAAATAGTCGCGGAGTTGATCATTTATGGACTCCTCGCTCTTGTGCAGCTCATTGGCCGCGTGGACGCGCTGATACGGGGCTTTATTGTGGGCCCCGTGTAGCACCCATCCTAACTCTGTGAGCGAGGCGATTGGTTGGTGCGGCGGACCTCTGCGAATTTTAGTGGCTATCAAGAGTCTCCAATTATCTTGTCCTATTAAGATCCTCGGGTTGCCGGAGTCGTATATTAATTGCTCCTTAAGGTCTTTTAAATGTCTACACTTTTCTATATCTACTGCATGCACAGTCTGTGGCCCCAAGTTTAGGCTGGCGACCGTGCGTGCTCTGAATTGCACCCTTTTCCTGTGGAGACTCTTGAGCGAAACTTTGACTCGTCGGGAGTTCGGCGAATCAAGAGTATTGTTCCCGATGGCGGTGATCTTAAAGGGGTCCAACCGCCCTGTTGCTCCAATTTGTTTGGCTATTTCCTCATCCATTAATGAGACTGTCGACCCGTCATCCAGCAGGGCGTGTGTATTTACAGCTCCCGCCGGTCCAATTACTCGGACTGGTATTATTTTTAAATAGGCGTGATGCTTTGACACGGCGAATGAATTTGCAACCGTTTCCTGAGGTTCTATTTGTGTGACCTCCGTTTTCTCCTTTTTATAATGGTGGAGAAGTCTATTGTGTGTCGCGGTGCATCCTTTTATTCCACACTTCGTGGTTTTACATTGGTGTGTTTGGTTTTTGTATCGCAAACACCGGAAACATAAATTATATTGTTTTGCGAGTTCCCATCTTTTGTCGGTATCCGCTTCTTTAAATTTGTTACAGTCGGATCCGTAGTGGCCTTCCTTTTGGCACACTCTGCACTTCGGAGATGGCTTAGTGGTAGCCGTGTGTGTCCTATGTACTGGACGATTGCTTTGCACTCCGTTTATGATTTCGGGAGGCGCAAATGCACTACAGTAGCGAGCTTGTTCGGTGATAAATTCGCTGAAAGAACCGAGGTCTGGCCTAGAGTCGTATTTTTCGGTATAAACTTTATACCATTGTGCCCGTATAGAATTGGGCAATTTGTCTGTGAGGTGTCGTAGCAGCTCTGCGTTGATGAGATAGTGGTCTCGTTTGAGTGCCCGTAGAGTGACGACGCTTCCCCTCACTTTGCTTGCGAATGTGCAAATATCTCTAGGCGCTTCTGTACAGCGTGGCAATCCTCGTAACTTCTCGGTTTCAGCTTGTGCAATTGAGTCTGGACGCCCAAATTGTAGCTCCAGTTCTCGCATGATCTCATCCGGCTTAGCATGCCCGATGAGTTCCGAACTAACTGTCTCCAAGGCTCTTCCCTGTAGACTTCTTCGTAGTCTTGCCGTATTTTCGATATCGTTGAAGTAGCCTCGGGTTGTTTCATAAATGGCACGGAACGATAGCCATTCAGTATGTGCTCCGCTAAAGCACGGCAGTGTCATTATAGCTTTCGACGCTGCGAAAGTATGCGACGATGCACTCTCTGGTTTTGGTTTGTCAGCGAGTGCGGCTATAGCGGATGTGAGCTCCGATATAAATGGTCGGAGCCCTCTGTCTTCATTTGTGACAGATGCCTGGTTAGGCTTCGTTGGCAGGGGATTCTTCGTTACGTCTGCCGGATAGGGATCCTGGTAGGTGAGCTCTGATACAGCTGGTAGGAGCTCCCTGTTTTCATCAACCTTCGATTCCTGGCTAATTTTTAGTGGCACAGGATTTTTGGTTACTTCTTCCGGATCGTGATCCTGGTAGGTGGGCTCTGATACGATTGGTAGGAGCCCCCTGTCTTCAACAACCCTCGAACCATTGTTTGTGAGCTTCTTTTGTGGCTCACTGAGGTCGACAACCTCCGGGGGTGGCCTTGTGACGGTTTTGTTTAGTGGGGCCTCCCCTCCGGTGGCGACGCCATGAGTTGGCTTTTGCTTGGCTACGCTATTTTCGAGCCAAGATCGGACGTACTCGCTTTTAGAGTGACCATCTTCATCATAGTCGTCCGAATCATCTTCTTCCTCAGCCATTTGCAAGGAAATTTGTGCGAGTTCCAATTTAATTCTCAGCACTTCTTCACGAGCCATCAAAACTTTTCTATTGGGCCGAATAGTCCCTTTTGACTTTATACTTTTATTTCGGTGGCCCCTGGGTGGCTCTTCGGTGCGGGAGTCTTCCCGGACTGTTGGCGGTGATGCACATCGAATGTCATCGTTGCCCTCTATATTTTTCATCTGCTTCGGTGTACCGGTTGTAGCGGCCGGCACGGGCAGGAGTACCCCCCCATCGCGGGGGCAAGGTGGCGCCTCAACGCCCTCTGTGGTCGATGGTGAGCGTGGTGGCATCTGGTGGCGGACGGCGTCGGTATTGTCCGACGGGCCTCCTTCCAGACCGACGGTCCACGCCATGGCCCCTTCCTTGCGAATGAGTGATCGGCATCTTGATTCTGAAAATTCTACTGACTTTAATACGGTAGTGTCTATGTACCGTATCCGGTATCCGGTTCCGAAATACAAACGGATGAGGGATTCAGCTCGTACGACCAGCTACTGCTGGACTCGGCTCGAAGTATAACCGGAAATATCCGGCTCGAAGGACCAACGAATGTTGGCCTCGGCTCGGAGTTTAAACGGAAATATCCGGCTCGAAGGACCAACGAATGTGCCGGACGGGCGTAACTCTCCGGAGTAAATGTTGTCGAAGATACTCCGCGAGCCGCTCACGTCCTACACCTATAGGTTCCGGTGGATACTTTCACTACCGCCTTTGTGTATGCTGTTGGAGAACTGTGGACTGAGGTTCAGAATTAAAAATGCACGATTTATAAATTAAAATAGCAAGGGAGTGGCCAGCGGTTCGACTGATTAATTAGTCACGAAATATTATAACTTATTTATTTATTTAACACTGTTTTTCAACTATGATTGTTTACTATATATTTTAAAACACAGATTTAATTAAACACACAGTAATATTAAAATTTCTATTGGTTTTTTAAAATTTCTATTCGTATTTTCAAAATATCTGTTGGTAATATCAAATTTCTATTGGCAGTAACAAGTTTCTATTGGTATTCTCTACTATTTCTATTGGTAATTTTAAATATCTATTGAAAGTAACAAATTTCTATTGGTAGTATCCAAAATTTCTATTGGTAGCAGCTGGTTTTCTAACACTACTGACTAGCAGCTATTAATCAACTAAAATTAGTTGAATTTAACACTTTTGTAACTGCGAATATCAGTTACCACTTTTTCCGTCTAGCTAACACTTTTCACTATATGTAACGGCGAAATTTCCGTTACCACTTTTTTCAGCTAGCCAACACTTTTTCACTATATGTAACTGCGAATATCAGTTACCACTATTTTTGGCTAGCTGACACTATTTTACTATATGCAACTGAGAATTTTCAGTTGCCACTTTTTCCGACTATGTGTAACTGCGATTTTTCAGTTACGACCTTTTTCGGCTAGCTAAACTTTTTCTATTTCACTTTAACTTTTCACTGTGTTCTGCTACTAGTCACTTCAGCTACTACCGGATACTACTGCTTGTTACTGGTAGTTCTTCATACTACAATGTTACTGTGATTTGCCCCCATAAGGTAGACTTCGGCTATACTCTATAGAGAGCCGCTTGCCAATTTCCGGTTTTGCCTTTTTATTATCAAACATTTTCATTACGTAATTTGCACAAATCGCAATTTTTCTATATAATGCTAATTTTTACATTAACACATTATACACTATAAAATAGGCATTTTGGTCCTTTATCATTATGTGATAAGGGTTACTTGATATATTTACATTCAAAAAAGTTATTAATCAAAATGTACCTAATTTACATAACAAAAGTGCACATTAAATCTTTAATTTTACTATATTTCTCAAATGCGTTTATTTACGCAAATTATCTATTTACTTATTTCAATCTATACATTATATGCTAACTAAATATCGTATTTACAATTCTTTCAGAAAATAAAAATATTCTCATTATTTTCATATAAACTATTGCGCAGTTAATTAACTTCTAGAAAGTTCCACGATATGCTGCGCTGTGATTGGTCGAAATTTTATTTAATGTTTAAAGTCCTTTATATCAACTTATTATTAAAACGATACTTTATACAAATATATTACGAGTTGTAAACATACTGTAAAACTATATTAAAACACAATTTGTTCGATTTTGTCGCTAATTTCACTTTTTAAAACACTTTAATATTCTTTAATCACTTTTTGCTTAAAGTCTTTAAACCGTCGCGAACAACCTCCTTGGCTCGGGTAAAGGCAGATATTAATATGTAGACAATAAATAAGTAATATTTTATGAAATGGTTGAGTTAAGATAAAATGTTAGTCCGCTCTATGGCATAGTCAGCTAAATGATCATTCCACGACATATATTTTTTTATAGATTAAGGGTGATAAAAGAGCACAGTCCACCTCATGGTAATTGGATGCTGTGGCCCATAGACATCTACATCTATCCGGGTGACTAAGACGGAATGGCTCTTTTCCAGTAAAAAAGTCTCCGGTTCTCTACACTCAGCATACGAAACACAACAGCATTTAGCCGCTAATTTACGCTGGTATTCTGTGTGAGCGTGGTCTCTCCTCGGTCGAGCCGATCCATTAGTGCTTCAACCATAATATAACTGGCTCTATGACGTAAAATTGAATTAAATTTTCTATGGCTCTATCACGTAAAATTTAATGATTGCGTATCTTAAAACAACGTAATATATTTTTAGGATAGGATTTTATTACCAATAGCCGGTGGCTCATGCAGAGATGCTATAATGTATTGGCATCCAGACTTAACAGAAGAACATTACTGTGTTGGTGCATTAGAATCAAAAACACCAGTTCACATAATGGATGTCGGAGGTAAGCAATACTACGAACCAAAAAGAATAATTTGAATATAAATGATATGTGAGACTTACGTTGCACGTGTGAGATTGTGAAATTGTAATAATTTATATTCGACAAATTGGGCCGTATTGTGAGCAGTAAGGATCCAACCCACCAATACAACGTCATTCAAATTTGAAAGATAATACATTTCTTTGTGTTACATAATATGTATATCATTTACAAGAACATTTAATGTAGTGGGTAATCATTTGGCTTTATTTCTAGGTTATTATTTGGTATTACAATCAGTAGTTTACTTAAATAATTATTATAGCTACCTACACATTTTTTAAGTTATCTACTTAAAAATGCTATCACAAAATTATTACAATCAAAAACAAAGAAAAAAAACTAATAGTTTTTTCTATTATATTGATCAATGTCTTTCTAGGAACTATTACTACACATCAATCAGTCTTCTTAAGTCTTTGCATATTGGCGAGTAAAAACTAAAATCTGAGCATAACATATTAGTCTCATTTAGACTCGGTACCTAAACGAAATTATCCGAAACTTTTGATATCAAATTTGGTTACGGTTACGGAGGTCCATAACATCCCTGTTACTTATTATATTTTAGAAGCCTTTCATACTTGGAAATAAACTGAAAAAGAGCCTCTGTCTCATTATTTTGGTCCTTTTGTGGCTTGGATCATTGTATCATAGAAATAACACTGTCAAACTAATACTTCGCTTCTAACTGCGCTAAAACTTCGTACATTGTGTAAAAAAGGAAACTTAAATACATTTTTTTTAATTATTAATAACATTAAATAGTGGCCGTAATTTGTAATATATTTTTAAAATAAAATAGTAATTACCTAATAAAATAAAATGGCTACAAAATCGATGAAACGGTACAAGTCATTGTGGTATCTTGAAATATTACGTTTTCTTTTTCCAATCCTGCATGCATTCCTTTCAGGTGAAATGTTTTGTAAAGGAGATGACTATTCCAAGAGAGAATATCTGCTTGCTTGTGATTTCTACGAAGATCAAGAAGCACCCGTTGCAGACTTGCTCCAGTATTATCCTGACCCTGACCCGGAAATAAGCCCTAAATTATATTAAAGCATATATTTTAATGTCTGTAAAGATAAGAAAATAAATACTGACGTAACATATAAACATTGTTTATTTTCCTTGTATTTTTTTAATAATCTACACAATAATATAATATTATAAAGCGGAAAGATTTGTTTGTTTGTTTGTTTGAATTGAATAGACTCCGAAACTACTGGAACGATTTGAAAAATTCTTTCACCATTAGAATCCTACATTATCCCTGATGAACATAAGCTATATAATATTATCAAAAAAGTTAGGGATCTGTATGAAAAGTTCGTTAATGTAACCCAAGGTGTGAAAAAAATACCAAAAAGAATCCTTATTTCGCGCACGCTGCGGCAACTATTGATAATAGAGCAAAGTATTGATACCATATGTTTAACTATTACAGTTATGTCACAATAACTACTTTTTCATGTTAAAATGTGAAATAGTAACGCTGGTACAAACTAGGCCATATTATTCGTATCAGTACCTGTACCATGCATAACCACCAATTACGTGAACCATGTAATTTTAGTAACATATTTCACTTTTTAAATCTTTGTTAATTCAGCAACCGTCCGTCGTGATGTCTCTCTCGAAGTTCGCATGTCGCAAGGCGCAGACGCGTGATATATGCGGGTGAAACCGCGGGGCACAGCTAGTAACAGTATGTAAGAGTATCGATGTAAGTAAAAATAATTCCCACATAATATAGCTTTTCGAAGTTGGAGGCTTTTAAAAGTATCTACGAATATAGACTTACATTATAGACTTATTGTCTTTGCGTCTAAAACAGACGATTTATGGTCAATACTTGAGAAACATCGCTTTTGGTGGATGAACAGAGCGATGCGAGACCGACATGTTTTAGCACAGATCCGAAAAAGTTTGCGGCGGATGATATCGAGCAGCTTTGATGTCGTCTATGTCTCTTTTCAGCAAATACCGCAAACTAGGCATCTCCACTACACGTTTGGGCTATTGCGTTTCCGTTTTCGTTCGCTACTGCACTCAGAAGAACAACCAGTCAGAAGGATTGCGTCCTGTTCACATGACTTAGCCAACGCAAGCGCCTCTGTTTGAGAAGTGTTTGAGGAGTTCATATTCATACGATGTCCTAGTTTTGCGTACGTCATCCAGTTCTCAGATACATATAAAGACTGTCGTCTTGGTTTTAGTGATGAGATGTTTTTATGCTATACACTAGCGCTAAGGTTCCCGCCGATAGCCGATACGAAACTTAACGTCCGCGTCCTCGTAATATTGTTCGTTACGTTTGTTCGACGCCATGTGGCAAAACTGTCTACTGGGTTAAGTTGTCGTCACAATCTCTCAAAAACTCCGCACTGTGATGCAACAACATATTGTGAAGAAATTTTTATGATATTTATATATTTTTTTAATTTATTACAACCATACTATATGTTATGTTTTGAAATTTGTTCAACGTTTGATGTATTTGTGCTTAGCGCCTGTTCAGATCTTGTTCAAGTCTTAATATAGGTAAATACTAGGATGCAATTAATGGGCAAAGCCAACAACCTCAAACATCGTTTATTCCGAATACCTAATAACTAACTAACAAATTACTACTTCCATAATAATTTGCTTTATATATTTCATAATAAACTAAATAGGAAAAGAAGATATGTCATTTCAACGGTGTTAAAGTATAAAGTAAAAGAAAGAAAAGAAGTTCACTGTTTCCTTCATTCACGTCGTTTAAGATTGCCATTCAAATAGATAAAATAATATAATATACTTGGTATAATCATAACAAACTCAAAATTTTATTAAATACTAGCTGTTCTCGTGACTTCACCCGCGAGTTATTTGGAGTTTTAATTTTTTGCGTGGAACCCTAGTTATTTTTCTATAATAAAAGTAGCTTAAGTTATTCCTTGTGACATCAGCTATCTGCCAGTGGGAATCCCGTCAAAATCGGTTCAGCCGTTTCGGAAATTAGCCGGAAAAAACAGACAGACAGAGAAATTGTATTTTTGTTATTAGTACCGTATATATGCATTTAGTAAAAAGCTGTAATTTTGACATTACAAACAGACACTTCAATTTTCTTTATTTGTATAGATTTACTTTTTTGGAAAATTGCCGCCTTGGATTACCGCAATTAAATAACCTATTTATTGATTAAAGTTCACGAGGGCTAAAATATTCTTACGCCCACCAGATGTCGCTAGTTGTAACTAAGGTAAATTTATTTGTTATGGAGATTTTTTATAGGATAGGGTGATAAACGAGCACACACTCCAGAAAAAAGGGTTCTCCACACTCACCATACGAAACACAGTAGTGTTAAGCTGCTATTTTACCCTGGTATTCTGTGAGAGCGTGGTCCTGCCCCGGTCGAGCCGATCCATTCATGCTACAACTATACTACATAGCTGCAGCATGGCTCTACCACGTATAAAAACCACCCAGTGTCATTATAATTGAAGGCTGTGTTTAAAATTTTTAAAAAATCGGTTCCTATGTATGTAATGTATGTATATACACAAAATAACGTCTCGGTGTTGAATCATTTCCCCAGACTTTTGGTACGGTTTAGCTAAAGCTATGTTCCTTAGAATCGGAGCGGTTTTTGATTGGAATACAAGCGACATAGAATAAAAATTAGTTTAATAATAAATTATTACTGTGTAATCTGTGCTTTCGGTAGAGAGTAAAGGTAGCGACCACGGAAGTACACGCATTTCCATGGTAGTCTTTGATTTTTGCAGAAAAACCGTGCCTTGCCAATACTCGGGATCGCTTGCTACGACTCGTCTCGCTTCGGGCACGCCAAACGAACCGTATACACGCTTGCTCTCGCCTGCACTCGACCAGCTAGGCGAGCGATGACGAGCAATGGCGAGGCTAGGCAAATGTTCTGTCCATATGTTGGTACTCGCCTTCACTCGGCCAACATACGTACTTGCTCTGACTATCACGGATTCCCACGATTTACACGTTTAGGCTAAGTTTATATGACCGACTTAGAATATACTGGCGTAATACTAAGTCTATGGGAAGGTCTGTGCTTTGTGCTCTGTGGTTCCTATCATAGATAAATAAATATGTAGGTTCCTATCCTCTAGTGAGAGTTTTGGCGAGAACTTGACCGGGAAGTTTTGGCGGGGATTTGACCGGCGGCGGTTTGCTGCTCCTGTATTATTGTTTAAATAATGGTTTGAAGTGGACTTTGATATGTAAAAGTGGTGCTATTTTGTGTGTTAAGTGTCTGCGCATGTGAACTATTAGTGGAAACGGTGAAACAAGTGCTCTGATGGTGATGTGATTCTCAAGATAAGGTGGTCTGCTTAAGTACCTTGATATAACATTGCCAACTGTCAGCTGTCTGCTGGCTCAAGTTGCCGTCAAAATCTCCCAAGGGCTGTACAATGTGACGCATCAACATATTGCGAAGCAGTGTACTATGAAGGGTAGTTATACATTGTAACTTCAGGCTCAGAAGGGCTAGAACTCAGAGCCGTGAAGCCAGTTATATAAAATAATTAATAATGAACTCGACCGGCGGCGGTTTGCTGCTCTTGTATTATTGTTTAAATAATGGTTTGAAAAGGATTATGATTTGTAGGTGTTTTTAAAGTTGAAAAATTTCAATGTAATTTAAGAATAATATATATCTATATTACCTATCTATTTGATAAATTATAATTGCAAAACATCGTTCCTGCTATAATGGTTGCGGGAATGGATGCTTAATAAGTAATTAAGAGGATTCAGATATATCATTTTTTGAGTTACCGTAGGGTAATTAAAGGTAATTTTGTTTCATTTTTTTGTTAGATAGGTATTTACAGCGAAAAAATAATTAAGTAATAATTTAACTACAGAAGTAATACCTAAGTACTTTATTACAAAACTTAGTTGAAATTTACTTCACTACCCAAGTACCTACTTACATACCTATACTCGTATTTGTAATTAAAATATTTTAAGTTATAATAGCACAAAATACTGGAATTAAAACTTTGTTTACAAGATTTTCAACTAAGTAGATTACGATTGTATTTCTGTTAGAAATCGTATTTCGAGTTTATTTGTTGTTTACATTATCTACCTATACGAACTAAACATCGCGATTCCTGACGAATGGCCTTGCAAGTTGCATGAGTTGGGCATCATAGATTTCACATAGTAGATAATATGGTCGATTATAGTCAGCATAGGTACTTTACCTAAGTAACTTACCATTTCACAATGTATTTTTTTACTCTTTATAAACAGCCCTTAGCAACCATTGAAAGTCCGTTGTGACGTAATAAGGAGAAAAGATGCAAAGTAATACGGACACTCGCGCGCAGCGATAAAGTTTTATTTAGTTTGCGTGCGCGATTTATCTGATTAATAATAACTATGTAGGCTATTAAAACGTCTGCAAGCAGCCAACACCAAAAGAGTGCAACTTCTGTACGTAGTACTATTATTTATTTTGTGGATCAGGCTAAGAAGGGCTAGAACCCAAAGCCGTAAAGCCAGTTATAAAAAAATTCTCTAGTGACGGGCTTATGGATTTAAGATATATTGGAAAATAGAAAAAGAAATTAGAAAACAGACTTAAAGAAGCTAAAAAGGTGTCATAAATCATATAATTTCTGTCTGAAATTAACATAGCTAGGCTATGTGTTAGTTATTTTGCTCACTTTTTTAAATTTTAATTAAGAGGCAAGGCTAATTATGCTTTCAATTAGAAATGTGAAGGGACTCGTTTATGAAATAGGTTATCTTACTGTATCAACACGAATGCATTTTTTGGTTAGTGAATTTCTTACGAAAAATTCACTTGTTTGTTAGTTGCTGTTAGAGTTGTATTGAGAGAACTACAAAAATGAGTGAGGAAAGAGTAAAAATGCGCAAGCAGTTAGGACTTCTGGAAGGTGTCGCGATTATTTTAGGGATAATATTTGGTAGTGGTATTTTTATTTCTCCTAAGGAAGTATTGGAAAAAACGGGGTCTGTTTATGGTGCATTGGCCGTATGGGCCGTATGTGGGGTTT